GTACTGCCTGCCTCGCCCGTTCACCCTTTTCATTGATTTAAAAAAATATTTTACATTCCCTTATTTTGCTGTTACAAATGATTATGACATTATAGTATAATAAAATTAACACCACCTTTCTTTCTTTCTTTCTTTGTTGGCTTTCTTGGCTATCAACCAGCGGCACGTGGCCAAGGTTATTAAGCCAATGGTTTCTATTTATTCTATCAATCTATATAAGGTCTTAAAGTTTTGTCTCCTTGATTATTTTTTTGTCATCTGATAAGAGATTTGACATTGTTAAATCTTTATTTTTTAATCTGAAATAATTTGTTATATGGTTTCTTTGGTTATTATAATTTTGACATGCTATTAAGATGTGGTTTATGGTCAGGGTGGAATTGCATGTCTGCCATTGTGGAGGGTATTTCTTGTAGGGAGTGAGGTGGGTAAGTCTTGAGGCATTGACCCTAAGGCGGGCCAACACCACCTCCTCCCTTCTTTCCTTCCTGTGGGATGTGTCCCACAGTTCTATGGTGTTCTTGATTTTGTTTGAGAGTTGAAGGCTGGTCCACTCACTTTGCCACAGGAGATGTATTTTCGCTTTTATAAGAGACACAAAACACCTGAGATATGTACGAACTATGGTAGTGTCCAGATAACCAGTTGACCCGGCTAATTTGTCAGCCTGTTCATTGCCATGGATGCCAGAGTGGCCTGGCACTCATATTAGCTTGATTGATTTGTTGGCACCATGTAACTTACGAATGATATTACCCAACAATTCATTTTTAGTGGTTTCTAAGGATTTAATAGCTTTAAGTGAACTTGATGAATCTGAAAAAATAACTCTTCTATTGTGGGTCATCGATAGTGCAAAATCAATAGCTTTGTCAATAGCAAAAAGTTCAGCAAGAAAGATTGATGTATGAATTGGCAATCTGAACTTTAGTTCACATTCAGTTGACCATACACCCGCACCCACATAATCATCTGTCTTGGAGCCGTTGGTATATATATGAAAAAAATTGAGATGTTTAATAAGGATCTCTCTGAACCTCTGGCGTACCTCCACCTCCGGCGCCATGGTCTTGGCTGATGGAAGCCAGGCTTCCATGATAGAAAAGTTGGGGGTTTCCCATGGCGCTATATTTGAATGAACCAGGGTATCGATGGTAGAGAGATCTATACCAACTTTCTCGACGAGGTCGTGGAGTCGCGTGACAAAGGGCCTAGTGCCTCCATTGCCATTATGGTGGCTCGGGTCTCAAGACACTTTCGCGGCATAGCTCAGGGTTAACTGGCCGCGTCTGAGTCGGATGGGAGGTACTCCTGACTCCACCTCAAGACGCTCGATCCAAGTGCATTTTAGGGCTCCAACACACACACACGCAAACAAGCATTCTGCACAGCATCTAAACCTTTCAAACTTGTTTTCGATGCTGAACCATACACGATTGACCCATAATCTACTTTAGACCTAATCAGGGCTTTATATATCATTAGCAAAGACTCTATCAGCTCCCCATTTATTACCAGAAATACACTTTAATAAATTTAGTGGTTTTTGACATTTATTCTTTAACTGACCAATGTGGTCTTTCCCATTGAGTCTACTATCAAAAAGTAGCCCAAGAAATTTTGCAGAATTTTGAATAGGTATTGGGTGGTGGTCTAGAGTTAGCCTGATGTTCGGCTTCCTCCTGTGTGAAAAAATTACCCCAATACTCTTTCTAATGGAAAATTTAAAACCCCACTGAAGGCTCCAGTTATCAATCGTATCCAGTGCCAATTGGATGCAATTTGCTGAGAATTATGCATTATTGCTGGAATGCCATAATGCACAATCATCAGCGTACAGTGAGTATTTAAGATTCCGAGGAGGAGATGGTAAGATATCATTTATCATACATAGAAATAATGTTGGTGACAAGACACTTCCTTGTGGGACCCCGTTTGCCTAGACAAAAATGTCAGAAAAAGTGACATCAGAAAACAATTTGACAGCGAATGTTCTGTCAGAAATGAAATTTTGAATAAAGCAAGGCAAGTTTCCACATAATCCAAAAGCATAAAGTTTTCTGAGTATGCCATATCGCCATGTCATGTCGTAGGCTTTTTCTATATCTAAAAATACTGAAATCAAATAATCTTTTTCGGCAGTTGCCTCTTGAATATGACTGTCCAGCTTTACTAGTTGATTGAGAGTTTGGCGTCCCTTTCGAAAACCACACTGCTCGTCAACTAGCAAATTACTAGAATTTAAAAAATGTAATAGCCTACTGTTAACAATTTGTTCCATGACCTTCCATAAGCAAATTGTCAATGCAATTGGGCAGTAAGAGATGGCAAATCTGGGATTACCCCCTCCTTTCAATATGGGAATGATGTGGAATGATGTGTGCCATGAGTTTGGAAAAGTGTGGCTTTTCCAAATTTCATTGTACACTTCTAGCAACTTAATCATGTCATCATGATTAAGATGCTTTATCATCTCATATCGAATCTCATCGGGACCTGGGGATGTTCCTCTACAGGTTTCTAGGGCTCGGACAAGCTCTTCTATTGTTAGATCTTTATTGTAATCAAAGTAATCTCCTGTGGCAAAGTGAATAGCTTGCAGCTCAGCCGCTTCCTTAATGGGCAGGAATGCGGGATGGTAGTCTGCTGAGCTGCTTGTATGAAAGAACTGCCTGGCGAGTGCATTAGCAGTGTCTCTAGGTGAATCTAAATTATTACCCTTGTGAATGATGTCTTTAATTTTGAAAGATGTTTTTTTCTTATTGATTTTATTGATAGTGGACCAAACCTCTGATATTTTGGTATTGCTGTTAATTGTAGACACAAAGCTCCGCCAGGAGTCTCTTTTTGCTTGTCTTATTACTCTACGAGCCCTAGCTCTTGCTAGTTTGTAATTGCAAAAGTTCTCATTTGTGTTGTTATTTTTGAAAAGCCTGTAGGCCTTATTGCTGGTGCCCACCATGGAACTGTATGCTTAACACTATCTGTCGAAGTTTTAGGAATGGATAGCAATGCTGCTTCTAAAATCAAATTCTGAATATTGTTTACTTTATCATCAATGGTTTCTCCAACAAGTTTGAGCTTAACGCTCCTTGTGAAGGCAACCCAGTCTGCTCTTTTTATGTTAAATTTAGGTGCTGAAGGCGTTCTCACTGTGTAGCATGAATATTCAATCAAAATAGGAAGGTGATCGCTTCCCAACTAGTCGTCAATGATGTGCCACAGGCACTTGGCTGCTACTGATGAAGAAACTAATGATAAGTCAATAAAGCTCAAATTACCGGTATTATTGTCCATCAGCGTTGGACTACCATCGTACAGAAGGACTAGATCAGACTCATTAAACAACTTAACTACTCTACCATCCACCCGCAGGGAACCCCATAACATATGATGAACATTAACATCACCTAAAATTACTTTATTTTGTGGCAGACGTTCCTGAAGAGCAAAAAAGCTCATCATAGATTATCACTATATTAGGTGGCCAATAAACTGAACATATAGCCAGATAAGTGCCATTAATTTTTATTTTGCATGCGACAAACTCCAAAGCAGAATCAATAGTCACTTCTGTAAAAGGGAGGTTTTGGTGGATGTACATGGTGACTTCGCCTCCACCCCTACCCTCATGATCCTTCCGACATAGATGGTAGTTCCTCAGCGAAACAACCTCATCTGAGATAAGGTGTGTTAAATGCGTTTCTTGGAGAACTATTATATTGGGAACATAGGATGAGGCTAATAATTTAAGGTCATTTACTTCAGATCTAAGACTTCAACAGTTCCATTGTATAATGGTCGACGCGAAGATTACGTTTTATGGGTTTTGGAAGTGCCTTGTCCACCAGTTTTAATTTTCTTTTTATGGGAGGGAGGTGCTTCCTCTCCCTTGCTCCCCGAGGACTTCTCTTGGGATGGTTTGGAGACAGAAGCCTCCATGTCCTGTACCTCCTGGCAAGGGAGGCAACTAACAGATTGCGATCTGCTTCTCTCTCGAGAAACCGATCGCAAGCCAGACAAAGTCCTCATAGGAGTAGCCTGGACAGGGAGGTGTGCTCCGGAGTGTGATTCGATATCCTCTTCCTTATGATGTTTATGCTGGGTTGATGCAGCCATTTGACCGACCAATTTTGTCAATTGATAAACTTTAATATTTAATTCTTTAACGGTTTGTTTGAGTTCAGCAATTTCCTTATCCTTAGCTGCAAGCTGTTGACTGACATCACTTGCACTAGGGGTGTTGTTAGTTACTACTGCATCATAGGAAGTATCGGGTTTGTGTGTCAAACTTTCAACTTTCCTCTTAGCTTCAGGATAACTAACTTTATGTTTCCTCATATATGCTAATGTCTCAGATTCCTTCTTCAGGATGCTGCACTCAGCAGATCCTCATTGATGGGGACCTCCACAGTTAGCACATTTGGAAATCTGGCTAGTACATGTGATGGTATCATGGGCTTCAGCACATTTATGGCAAGTAAATTTATTAGAGTCTTTATCAATACATCTTAATGAGGTGTCTGAATTTTTGGCATCTATTACAATGCATTGGCTTTTGGACATAAGGTCTTACTTGAACACGTTCATAACCGACATTGACATACTGGGATTCTATTTAAAGCAAAGGTCAAAAAACACAGTCCAGTTTTCGTTCACACATTCCCATCCTTCTTGGTCATACAATGAACGTCCACTACGTCTTGGTCATTCATGCTCTCTAGAATTTCACTTTCTTCCATCGTCCTCAAATCCCTGTGAAGATTATTCCCATACAGGTATTTGGATCAAAAGGAATAGTTACTTTAACTCGAAGATCATGAATTTGCGTCAACTTAAGTAAATCCTTAATCTGGGAGTTGAATTGTACTTTAACAAGGAGGCTTCCATCTCTCAATTTTTTGACAAAATCAAAGTCGCCGTCCACTTGACCATCATGGACCTTTTTGATGATAAAGGAGTTCATGTTCAGAAGCGATTGATTTTCATTCACGCATTTTACATTCGCAAACCTCGCATTCTCAGTTGGGATTTTGAAGAGTGGTCATCTCCTTTTGTCGTTAGTGGGGTTTCCATTGCTCATAGTCAGATTAGTCTTAGGAGGGTCATGAGTCACCCCTCCTCCTTGAGGAGGAGAAGGGGTAGCCAGGGTATCAATCATGCTGGGTATCAGACCAGGTCCAACCCCTTGCCTCAAAATTGTTGTCCTGAAGGGATCAAAAACTTTTGGTATCACTCTAACAGCAATAGCTAAGACAGTAAGGCAGTTTTCCGTCTTCTACCCCCCCGTGGAAGCCTGGTTGCGTTCTCCAGTACCACAGAGGGATCGAGTTATGTGTGGGACGCTTCCTTACCGCCGAACTTGCTTAAGCGAGGGACGGTAATTCAATGCCCACCCCCCAAGCGAATACGGAAGTTCACAAAGGAACACCGGTAGGCTCAGGAAAGTCACATTATAAGGAAAAGAATTCAGAATATAAGAAAAATTATGCCCTCGACTACTGGGCCTCCCTACCCAGGGGTCAAAGCCACAAGGGCTACCCTGGTGTAGAAGAGAGCTGCAGGTCTGAGGTGGGGTGCTGACTAGACCTACTGCCTCGCGCCACCTGCAAAAGCAAGAGCACTGAAGGTGCTGGCAAAGCACTAGAAAGTGCCCCAGGCTCCAGGGTAGCTCTTGTGGCACAGGATTTCTTATTTATTGCTGCTGCATTTGAAAAGGTGTTGTCTCATCAAGAGTTAATACACGAGTGAACACCACCTAATTTATAGCACAAGTAAAAAATACGTTTTTCCCGCCAATTCAAGGAAAGGTGAAATCAGGTAAGGTCTCAAGATCTACTAATTGACTCCTTTATAGCTAAACACTAGCAGAGCCATCTATGTACAGAGACATTTCACAAAAATATAAAAAATGAGCACAGCATTTTTCCTGGCGGCAATGGGTTAATATTTGTTTTAAAAATTATTAGTGTACTATAATCTACTGTTAATTCAATCAAGATTTCAATGAAGCTGAACACAACCTACCTTGGCCAATTCTTGAAACAGATCCGCAAACACATTTACACTGCCACCCTTGTTCCCTGAGCGTTCAGGGTGCAGAGACAAAACAGGAGAGTCTATGTTGATGCTGTTTTCATGGACACTGCCCTGCCTCTTCTCGGAGATCTTGAGAGATCCTGAGCCATTCTGCCGTTGTGCAATGGGGTCACTGTCACTGTCCCAAACTCTGACCACCACAAACACCAGCATCACAAACGACAGGCAGACAAATAACTTCTGATAATGAATGCGTAACAGCTGCATCTTGTTCGATGGGTGAATTTTGTATGAATAATACAAAATGGTAGTTTGTATTATGACATGGAGATTGGTGAGATTCTTGCGAGATTCTTATGAGATTCTTGTGAGATTCATACGTTATTAAGCAGTGGTTCTATGTTCTTCCTTTATCATTTTTGTGACTTGTGTCTGCCAAGGGAGAAAGGAAATGTTACATATACAACTACCACTTTACATTCATTCGACTTGATATTCATATATTTACCTGCTGAAAATGATTAATTCTTTATCTTTTGCATGTTGACACATTTCTTTCCCCTTTTCAATTGAAAAACATGCAAATATATAATTTATGTATACATATGGGTATCTCTACCTATATCTGTATCTATATCTATATCTGTATCTGTATCTGTATCTGTATATGTATCTGAATCTATATCCATATCTATCTTTATTTGTATCTGTATGTTTATCTTTATCTATATCTATCTATTATTATATCAATGTATACATCTATACCTATGTCTGCAGCATTTGAATGTATGCCCATTAGTGTGAACATGGAAATGGCATGATTCAGAATGTTATAATTTTTGACAAATCGACAACATGGGAACTCCCCTCCCTCCTTCCATCCAAGCACCTTACCATAATCATTGTTTATAGGGTATGGTACCTTTGTAGGTGGCTATGCTGCTGATAGAGATATGCCTAAGGATAATTGTGTATATATATACTAGTGAGCATTACTGAACTTCATAAAGCAGGCCTAAAATAAATTTAATCCAATATTTAAATACTCTGCACATGCTATGGTATGGAGTTCCTTTGTGTATGAGGGTTTTGGGGCATTGCTATTATTATCTTACAGTGAAACTATGAATGCTGTGGCCTATTTCACTTTCTTGAATACAGAGCATATCTTTGAGAAGTCAGGTACAATCCTTTTGCAACAGGATTGCAAACTGTGCCAAACTGTTGCATGGCTACCACATTGACTACATACCAGACTGGCTAGGCATTTACTCAGACCTTCAGGCAACAGAAAACATTTGAGGAATCAATAAGAAATACTTAATACAATAATGGTCCCTGTCTTTGGTGACTACTCCTAAGGTTCATGCAGTTCTTGTGTAGTTTGAAGTCATTCACACAAAACCAGACTTTTTCACAATCATAAAGCATAGCTAATTATGTTAGCTATGCTTTATCCAA